CAAAACTAAGTCATTTAAGAAAGTTAAATACAGGTGTAGTGTAGCAGGAATGCTCAGTCATGATGCTCAGTCATGGAGCAGCTGGTGGGAAGGCAGGTCCAGCGCAGGGGAGCTTAGGTGCAAGCAATGTACAGAGTGATGGAAGGGATGGAGCCAGGATCCACCCCTGCACAGACCTCATGTAAGGGTTGGCAGTGGAGCTGAGGGACTCTCTCCAGAGATCCCTGTGTATTTGATACCTTCCAAAGGGAAGCAGGTTTTTTTCCCCTTCAATTCTGCATTCACAGCTGCTGCGTTTGGGCTTGTCCTCATTTGCTGCAGCCCAAGAAAGACTTTGCCAGCCCACTATTATTGCTGTACCTTCCATCACATTATAATGTTACAAGCAGCTACCCTTAAAACAAAAATACACTTAGCTGAAGACTTTAAATATAGAAAGAATATATGTATTTGAGTGGAGATTGATAGTAAATGAAGTTTTTGTTAAGACCAATCTCATGAACCAACTGCTCATCTCAGAACAATAAAGCTAAATCTATTGCTTAGCTCCACACTTCTCCGTTTCTTCCCTAAATCTGAAATATATCAAACCATACTAAGTGTCATGGTGTCAGAAATCCCAGATTTGTAAGGGTGTTTTTTCTTATTTCCAGATGAATCTCCTGCATTATCATAACATCATATACAGGTTATCAAAAACAAACAAACAAAACACAGTAGCAGGTGTGAAGTATTATTATTCAAATATACTTCTCATTTGTAACGCCTGGAAAAATAGTATTTTCAACTAAAATTACAAAAAAAAAAAAAAAAAAAGCATACATACAACATATAGACACATGCATTCTTGTCCTGTCATGCATATATGGTTCTTCAAAGTCCTTTATGTCTAGCAGCTTTCATAATCAAAAGTGGTGAGTAGTCTCAGCGTTGTTTGTGAGTTCAAGGTATCAGCCTATTTTTTTTATAATATGAGAATGGATGAATCAATATATTAAACCAGTTTATAATCTTGCAACACCCAGAAACTTTTCCTGAGTTTATAAATTATTTTTCTTCACTTTTCCAAGCCTAGCTTCTATAACTGGACTTCCATCCTGCTGCCTTCCTTATTCCAAAGAGCTCCAGTACTTTTGCTCTTGAAGTAAACAGTAACAGAGTTTAAGTGATGGAAGCGATTTGTTTTGTGACCTACTACTCACAGATCTATAGTACAACAATAAATGTTTAACAAAATGACAGCTCAGTTGGCTAGGAAAGTCATAAGTAATAGATGTTTACAGTGGAATAATTTGCATTGGAAAAAGGCATTCTGAAAGACTGAAGAACAGAAAACCAAAAGTTATTCACTGCAGTTGACAGTAAGGTTTGACTCTTACTAGTTCATCTGCACATAAAGTGTCCCTGGTATCCATTCATCCTCTTTACATCTTTTGTTTCTGATCTTTTTCATTGGTGACTTCAGTTGATGTTAGTTTTTTTTTTTTTTTTTAATTTAAAATACATTTTAAAGAGGCTTTTAAAATGAAATTGACTTAGGAAGTTTTACAGAGGGCTTCAATTAAAACTCAGTAAGCACCATTATAGAAGACTGTCTCAACACAGGTCCAGAAAACATCAGCAGTTACAGGATGAACATACAGAAAACATGACAGTGGAAAAAGAAAGAACACATTCCAACAGCAGTTCAATTGTTCTGTTCGAGAATTACCTCCACATCCCTACTAAAGTAGTTTTCCAGCTAGACTCAAAGATTGTTTTGAACACTTGTAAAATTTACCTTTCAATTCTACGTACCATAGTGCCGTTTACAGTATGTGGCAATTAAAAGATGCATTTCTATAATTAAAGGTACTTCCTGTACAAAAGCAACAACTTCAGACATCCACTTTAGTGAACACACAAAGCATATGAAATCAGATGGATCTGGCATGCTAATGCTGCATATTCCCAGGCACACAGAACTACCAATATGCTGAATATACATTCATGAACAAGCAGAATTTTCGTTTTCTTTCTATTCTTCCTTTCCATTCATGACAGTACATATCACTAAAACACACTAGAAGACTGAAAAAACAAAAAAGATAACGCACGTATTAAACAAACAATTAATTTAGATCTACACTGATCAACTTAAGAAGACACAATATAGCTTTTGCATTCCTTTTTATTGTTTAGCGACTTGGGAAAGAATTACACGAGTCTTGTGAAATACAGTCTCCAAAGGTTTAAGTGATAATTAGAAAAGAGCTGTGCAAAATAACGTTTTGAAATGAATGAATTAGAAATACGACTGTAAACATCCTCTATACTGTAGTAAATGATCAGTTTCTAATTCACATTTACAGTATAAAGCAAAACGGAAGGATGTGAGTAGTGATCATCAGGTAACCTCTGCAAAAGTAATTTCCTTATTTAAGCATATGCTTCTATTAACACAAATTTCTTGCTACCCTTCATATGTTCAGAGACCCAACACCACCTTAAACAGCATGCTACCGCAGCCTTCACAATCCCTGCTTTGCCCTTATTAAATGAAACCAGGCAAATTCCCCGATTCTGCACCCGGCTGGCGAACGGTGGCAGAAACGGCCTAGACGAGAGACCCCCGGATCCAAACCCCCGCTGGGATAACCACATCAGCTCCCCACACGGCCCCGCGCCGGTCTGCTTCGCAGAGCACCCGCGGAGCTGTTCGGACCACGCAGAATCGGCGGCGCCGTCGGGAAGAGGCGGCAGTAGGCCAAGCGGCCGCCCACAGCCAACAACGCAGCGGCGCACGCCGGGTCAGCGGCTCACCCTGCTCGGGCCGGGCGTGCGAGCGGCGGAAGGCCGCGGCTCGAACGAGGGCCCAGCCCGGAGACCGCCGGCGGGCAGCAGGGGGCGCCCTGCCGTCCTCTCGCGACACGCAGAGCCCCCGTGCCGCGCCGGGAAAGGGCGTCCGCCACCGCCAGGGCGCCGCCGCTCCTCCGGCCGCCCCACGGCTTCCCTCGCCACCCCTTTCCTCAGCCGGGGCCTCACCCGCTGTTGTCGCTGCAGACGCCGCCCGTGGCTCCTCGCTGAATCTGGCGGCGGAAAGGCGAGGGATGGCGGGGCTCGGCGCGGCCGCGGCACGGGCCCCACGCCGACCGCTCCCGCCGCATGGAGGGGGAAGGACAGACTGGAGCGAGGGGAGAGGGAAGAGGGTTGGAGGGAGGGGGCGGCAAAGCCCGGGCGGGACGGGATGGAGAAAGACGGGGGAAGGTGCGGGAGTAGGGTTCAGCGCCGGCGGGAGCGCGGAGGCCGTTGCCTCCGCCTCATCTCTGCCGGGCCAGCGCCGCTGCCCGGGCGCCGTCGCTTAGCAACCACGCCCAGCCCCCGCTGCTGCAGACGCCCGACTCCTCGCGGCGCCCGCGCGCTCCCGGAGGCAGCGCACGCGCCGCCCGCCAGCAGGAACGCGCACAGCCTTCCGCTCCTGCCCGGCGCAAGGGCAGTGCGGGCGCCTATCCCGCCCCAACCGGCGGGGCGAGCGGCGGGCGCGCGGCCGTAGTCACGCGCGGCGCTAGTAGGCGTGCTGCGGTGCTTCTCGGGCGCGTTTCGGCAAGGAAGTCCGCCATTGAGATATTCTTTTGCTCATAACCAACGTCTTACAACTCAAGAGTCCTTTGGAAATAAGTCCTCGAGTGGCTGATGTGCTCGAGTTACACAAAAGAATGGGAAAAAGGCTACCTAGTGCCTTTATTGAAATCAGTGTGGTTGGGGGAAGGATGATGTGCAGTACTAGAGACGTTTTCCCAGTTTTGCAGATTAATGGGATGGAAGATGAAATAAAAGACGTGACTGAATTCTGGGGTGCATTACTAAGAGCGTGGCCAGCAGATCGAGGGAAGTGATCCTCCCCCTCTACTCTGCTGTGGTGAGGCTGCATTTAGACTGTTGTGTCCAGTTCTGGGCTCCCTGGTTGAAAAAAGACAAGGATCTCCTAGAAGTCCAGCAGAGGGCCACAAAGATGGTGAAGGGCCTGGAGCATCTCCCTTGTGAGGAAGGGCTGAGTGAACTGGATCTGTTCAGCCTGGGGAAAAGAAGACAGAGGGGAGATCTGATAAATGTTTAGAAATACCTGAAGGGAGGTTGGAGGCAAATGGATGAGGCCAGTCTCTTCTTGATGGAGTGTAGCGATAGGACAAGGACTAATGGCCTAAAACTTGAACACAGGAAGTTCTGTACTAACACATGGAAGCACTTCTTTAGGAGAGGGGTGACAGAGTTTGGAACAGATTGCCCAGGGAGGTTGTGGAGTCTCCTTCAATGGAGTTGTTCAAGACCCAGCTGGATGCCTACTTGTGCCACGTGTTGTAGAGTACCTGCTTTAGCAGGGGGTTGGACTCCATGATCTCTTGAGGTCCCTTCCAATCCCTGCAACTCTGTGGTTCTGTGAAATTTAAATATATTGAGGCCCATCTTTGGGCCTTAGATCTGGCACCACTGCCAGATCTAGGCTATTGATGGATATTCTCACAGCATACTTTGAAGGATTAACTAAAGAAATAACCAATGCTTCCAGAGCTGATAAAATAATCTTAAGATCTCAGAGCTGGCATGCTATTTGCACCTGTCAGCGTTGCTTGTGACTGCCTCTGGCTTACCAAATCATCCTGAAAACAACATTTCACTTATAATATTTTCCCTCTATATGTGTGGAAAAAGTCCAGCAGATGTGATGATGAGTATAAGCTTTCTGTAATGAGGAAAGAACACAGAACGTAATAGCATTTTTTAAAGAAAGTAGTGAATAAATAAAAAGATATGCAGTAACATGTTAAACCCAGAACATACTGGGGGAAAAAAAAGTCACCATTGCATCCCAGCGTTATAGAGTTAATTACTGTAGTGAGGATGATTACAAAAGTGGTGTAGACAGAAATGCTGAGTTGCAGCCTGAAGCAGTGATAGAGCACCTGATGGGAAGGCAGGGCCAGACTAGGGGAGCTCAGGTGCATGCAATGTATCTGGGTGATGGAAAGGGTGGAGCCAGGATCCACCCCTCCCCAGCCCTCATTTAAGGGTTGGCAGGGGCAGGGGGGGTGTTTTGCTGGAGGTCCCTGTGTAACAAGCCTTTTGAAGGCAAGTTCTTTCCTTTATTTTTGTGCTGTTGTATTTGCACGAGTTGTTGCTTGCTGCAGTGTGGGATTTTGCTGCTTTGCTGTTACTGCTGCCCTTTCTATTGTGTTAGTGTTAAATGTGGGGGGGAGTAGTCATTCTTGCAATTTGGAACTGTTCTGTGTTACTTGTCACTAGTGATAACAGTATGCAGACTGAAGAAGTACTTAATTTTTTAAATGCAGTGAAGTTGAAGCTTGTGCTCGATAGCATGGTGGTACTGATTTTTGTCTGTATTGTATGTCTACTAGTGCCTGGTTTTAAAAGCTCAAATGGGAGTAAGGTTCAGGACCAGGAAATCAAAAGGTTTATTTTTCAATAGCAGTTGTATGTGTAAGCCCTTCAGTTTCTGTTGGGGATAGAAAAAAAAAAACAAACCGCACAATAATAACTGTATGTTGAAAGAGAACAGTTATTTATTTCCCCATACCTAAATTTGTAGAGCGCCAGAATAGGCATGATACAACAGTGTTGTGATTTCAGGGCACACAAAGAGCTATCTTTTATGTACAATGAAATGTGGAACATGCACATGTAAAGGCACTTGTCCCAGCCCATGAAACAAATGCTGCATGCCACCAGCTTGAATGCGCTTGAACTGCGAGTACTGACATCAGAGCTGAAAGAGTAATCTGCTTGTCCTAATCCTTGGCCCTCTGCTCTGCCCGTAGAGCAACATGCCTCATGACATCCAGATTTTACTTTGCAATGTGGAAAGTGATTTTTCATCTCTAGGAACACCAGAGATCTCAGAGTGTACAAACACCAAAATACTGGTAAATCTCTCCAGGCTTTTCCACACCTGCTCACCTCAACTGATAGGAATGGTGCAAGTACATGCTTCTCTCTTTCTTCTCTGTCACTTTGCTGAAAGTTACACTGAAAAAGTATTCATAAGTTTGACTGTAATAGAATAGCAATAGCAGTAGAAATCACATACAAATATCCATATTATTCATTGATGAGGAGAGGGGGGAAAAAAAGCCCCACTTCCCGAACCAGTATGAGTGGAAAGAATATGCAAATTCGCTGTACTTCACAGGAAGCATAGGATAGAGGGCTCAGGAAGACAGATGTGATGATTTCACAACTGAGAGAACAGTAGGATGTGTTTGTTACCACAGCAGGCCCTGGTTTCATGTGGATGCAGAGCTCAAGCTAATTGCATGCTCCTAAAGATTGCTGTTTATCTGGAGACTGATTTAAAGCCTGATGAAAGCAATGGCTATCTACTCTGTTGTTATGAAATAGTCTGTCTTAATTTTGAATCCTTCTAATGATTGCTTCTTCCTTTTGTTATTCTAAAGCTAACGTTTTGTAGTTTTGCACAAATGCTAACACTTAAAGATGACTAAATATATTTTTTTTTCAGTGGAAAAAGTAAGCAGGGAGCTGCATTGTACTGGTTCTAATGTCATACACAGGTGTTAAGAGTTTTCATGAAGGACACAGTGCCAACCTGCCACCTTCCCTTCTACAAACCTGAATCCCTTTTGTTACACAGAATATTTTACAGTTTTCTCATATGCTTTAATTTTTGTGCCTGGTTTCTCAGTAGGTTCTTTGTGTTTGTTTTGAACTGTGTGTGTCATTTCCAAAGGAGACAAGTGATACTTTCATAGTTTTCATCTTAGCTCAGCTGAGTGTGTAAGAGAAAACTGTATAACTCCTCAACTACACTCAGTACATGACAAAGTACTTGACAACATTTGAGGTAAGTACATAAGAAATTGAATGTTAATACAGCTCAGTTTCTTCAAATTAAATGAATGGGTGTATAAATATTTACAGATAAATGGGAGTTACTCCTCAGAAGCCCCAAACAAACAAAAATTCCAGATTAGGTGTTTTTTCAGGTCTGTTTTCCAGCCCTCCAGGCAGCCATATGAATCTAGCACCTCATCCCTTCTCTAAACTTTCTGGCTGCCCACCCTTTCTCATTCTCAGTAATTTTTGGTGATGATTTTTCCTCCTCTCTGACACATTCTTTCATTTTCTGGCCTTTGAGTGCTTTCTCTGGCATGAAAACCTATTGTGGACATTTGAATTCATGTTCATATACAATATTCATAATTCATATTAATGTACAATAGCTCACTCAGTCCCCAGGAGGGAATGTCTGAGAGGACACTGAAGAAGATGACAAGAAGCAGGTTGTTGTAATAGAAGGCTATAAGCCTCATAACTCACCGCTATTCATTGCAAAACCCCTGCCTCAAAGCAGGGATCTGCAGTACCTGGGTTAATGTGGACAACATTATGTGAATAGTTAAGAATGATATGGAGAATCCTCTACTGTCCAGATGTCCTTTCCTACTGAAACACTGTGTAGTCAGAAATTTGACTGAAATCTGTCCAAACCTTTCTGTTTGGCTTATTAAATGATTTGTAGACTTTTCTCATCTGACTAGTGGATTATTTGCTATGAAAACTTTTTTTAACAGCTTTTACAGAGAGGATGACTCTTGCTGTTATGAGCTCCATCTATTCCATCCAGAGTTGCTCAGAGCTGGAGTCGGAGCGTGACCCTCCTGTGGCTCATGCTCTGCTTATTACCTCCCATTCTAGTCTGCTAGTATTCCAGGCACAGTCACATGTGAGGGGGACCGGTTTTCCTTTAGTCTGCAACCGTGTATGCAACAGACTCAAGACGTTTAGTTCTGTGAGAACAAGTCTTGACTCAAACAGATCAGCCAAGTGCTATGTTACTTTGGCCATGCTGTCACATTCAGATGCCTTTCATGTACCCCAAAACTCTTACCAATCTTGCTGCTTTGCTCTGTTATGTCCATTTTTACTTGCCTTCCGTATATAACAATTGGGTAACGCATCCCACTTAATCGCCCTGTGCTCATTGGCCTCATGCTACTGACTGATGAGTGGTACACTGTATTCATTAGATTATGATACTGATGCTTGTGCATGTAAACATACTTAAGTTGAAGACTTTATGATCTGGTTTCCCTGCTGTCTGGCCTTGAGCTTTCATTTCTTATAATGCATTGATTTTTCAACCCAGCGTGACCATAAAAACTGGGGAACTGCTAGGTAATTGCTTGGGTATACTGGTGAAGAATCAGGAATTTACTCTGTGGATCCTTCAGGAAGAAGTCTTTCAGAGTGCTGAGATGTAAAACTGTTGTCTTCAAAAAAAATAAACATGTTTTGTTCACGACAGAAACTGAAGGAAGATAATTACCTGTGTGACGAATGGCTGGAAGTCTATTCAGCAGGCCTGGTAAAGTGCTCTGATATGCATGGGTAGAATGTCCTCAGGCAAATGGTCAGTCTTCTCAACCTGGCATTCACGTACTGTTTTTGTTTTCAAAACAAAAAATGCTACCAATAGTGTCAGAAATACAGAAGAAAATCCCAAAGAATAAGATATGTCTCTACTGAGCTCCAGATGCACTCCTAAGTCAGAACACCTGGGAGAAAACAGCACAGTAGTAATAATGGCTATAGCATGCTTTGGTTGGGGGAGGGAGGAGAAAGAACCTCAAAATCGCCATCGCATCAAATGATCCCTTAGTGCTTATTCCCTGATTTTAATGACATCCTAAATATTGCATACACTTCAGGAGGGCACCTCGTTCCCTCTTTGCACTCCTAACAACCTCTGACAAAATGAGGTGTGACAAGCTGATTTAAAATCTACTTGCAGGAAGAAGGGGGGGGAGCTCTGCTTTGCATTGTGGGTGTTGTAGTCTTTCTGCCGCATGTCTGCCTAGGCAGTTTGAGGAAGCTGGACTCTAAGTCCCATAGATCCCGCTAGAGCCTACCGCACAGGCTCAGAGACCTTATGCTAGGAGGGGGTGACTACGTTGTATCTATTGTATGTGTTTTCTTTCTTTTTCCCCCTGGCATTTTGTACTTTTCGCTGTAGATTTAAATCGGGAGTGAAAAGCATGGCAGATGAGCAAGAGATCATGTGCAAACTCGAGAGCATCAAGGAGATCAGGTATGTTTGCTTTGTGCTGCATCAGTTACGTGAAGCAGCTTTCTCCTCGGGAAAGTAGAGTAGTTGCATCGATCTGAAAGTATCTATTGTGCTACTGAGGGAAAGAAAAACCATCCCAAGCTTTACGATTAGAGCTAAAAATACGTTTTTTCTAGTTGGAAAGGCATATCTGGAGCTGGGAAATGCCAGCGGAATGTGCAACAAACGGCGGCAACGATCATAGGTTTCCAGAGCATTAGCTCAGTAATACCATAACGAGAAGGAAAAGCATGTGGGTGGGGAAGGCAGATTCAGCCCCGTGCAGCTGGGGGAGAGGTGTTCGGTTGTGGGTGCTTTCTCTTAAACTCTTTGGATTATAATTTCTCATCCCTAAATCTGTCTGTTGTAAATTCAGTATTACGCCTCACGCAGTTGCACTATTCCCCCCCCCGCCGGCAGGAGCCTTAACAGGCTGGGAAAGGAAGGGGCTGTCACGGAAAGCTGAGGATGGGTGTGCCCCAAAGAACGGCATGGAGCGGGTGTCTGAGCAGGACTGGGACGGCCGAGTGCAGCTGGGCAGGAACTCGTGGGTGGTCGTGGGGCTGCTCAGCTGCTAGGGAAGAGGAGCCTCAACTGCTCCGGGATTGCGGCCTGCGGGGAGCGTGGAGTATATGTGTCTGCTGGAAAAGGGAAGCGTCTGAGCCTGTGGAGAAATCAGTGCCTAAGACCGGCAGGGAGAGATAGCAGAAGCCTGCTGTTTCTGAGTAGCACTCTGAAGGGAGGATCAGGGCTGTGTGCTGGGGTGACAGTGTTGTGGTGGTGATGGATAGGGAAACAACGGCACTATGTTATTTCTGTCATCATCTGGAGGATCTGCCACAAAGGCAAGCAGCTGTCTTGCTCTGCTGTTCTGTGCAATGTGATACAACAGGAATTTGTATATAGTGCTCTCCATACAGCATATCTAACAGGGTGCATTGAAAGAGGAAGGGATCATAGACACCAATGCATGGCATCATTTGTTCAGGGGTATGTTTTTCTAAGCTTTTAAGCTTTCTAAGCTTTATGACATTGGCATTCTTGGACTTAGGACACTGATATTCAGGTAAGGCCTAAACTGTCAATACTTAGCAGAAATTAATGTATCCAAAGCCAAAACATCTTACAAAGGAAGTGTGGGCAATGATCTGAAATGAAGCTGAGAGTTGAAGGGTGAGCTGCTGAAGGATTACCATTGAAATGGTAAGTGTTTTGGGGCATGACAGCTGAATAGAGGCTGTCGATGGGTATGTTTGCAGTACAGGCAGTGGACAAAGGAGCCGCTGCCTGGCTCTGCACAGAAGTTGCTGCAGAGGTGTCTTTCTGCCTGGTATTAGCACCTTTAATAAGCACTCTTTACCCATGTAAAAAGGTGAAGAAGGCAACAGTATATGGGCCTGTGCCTTTTTCATGCTATACCATGAGGATGAACAAAGATCAGGCAAAAATATTCCTATGTCAAGCATTCCAAGACTACATGTAGAAAAAGATGGGATAGTACATGCTTTGCAGAGTAAGAATAGTGCTTTTCTACTTAGATAGTAGGCATGCTCTTTTAAAAAGTAGGTGTAGATATGACCTGTTTGAGGTCCAATTATTACACTGAATTTAAGTATCTAATTACATGGCACATTCTGTTTTCTGATAATGTATTTTAGTACGTTAACGCTGCAATTAAGACATTTTTTAGATTAGTTTATGGTATAAGATGCTGAATGTGAATAAATAGCTTTACTACGTGATGATGTATTAATAAATTTGCTTGAACATAAATTAAAACAAGCAAAAATCCTGCTTGAGGCACTGATGTCAATTTTGAATTTCCTTTCCCAAAATGTGGCCAAAAAACTACCTATTTAAAATAGATAACTACATCCTTTCATTCTGTGCAGAATTTCATTCAAAATAACTATGAGACTTTCTTATGCTTACAAAGAAAATATACTTTTGATACATCTGGCAGGCATTAATTTGCATTCAGGGTAGTATTCTACAGGCAGAGGAAAAAAAACCCTTGCTATTGAAATAAAATAAATTGCTTATTTCTGTTGGTGCTCTCTGTCATATATTAAAGGCAGGTCAGGTGGGTTTTTGGGATTCTAGAATCTGATTCTGAAAACCTGCTTTCCTAGATGTGTACAAATAAACACAATTAGTATGGAATTACTGCTGTCAGTAAAGTATAAGCCCCCAGTCCAGACATATCTGCACATACTTATTGATATGCATTATGTAAATTAACTTAATTGTAGCTGTAAAATTAAGCAAATGTGTAAATACTGGAACTCAGTGTTCTGACCAGGAGAAGATCAGAGGGTATGTGTGAACTTATCCACAGCAGATGCCAGCTTCACTGCTTCATGTTATACTGGGACACAATTAGTTACTACTGTTATCATTGCAGTCCAAGAACTTAGAAGGGTAAAGAACGAGGGCCGATTTCATTAGGCAGTATAGAAATCACAATATTGGTTTTTGTTTCAGAGCATCATTGCCTGTTACCTGATGTTAATATGAAGGGCTTTTTATAAAGTTGTGTGTGCTTTTTCTTTCCTTATACCAAAAGCTAATCATTTGAACTGAAATAATCCCCCGCAACTCATTCAGTGTAGCAGTTTTGCGGAGGATAGCTGTCAGCGCCTAGTAAAAGTGTGGAAGGTCATCTATTTCCTGTTAGGTGAATGCGTGTCATAAACATGCGTTGTGTGGAAACTTGGAACAAATCCTCCTAGTCTCACTGATCAAAGATGCCACTACCAAGTGAATGCTTTATATAAATGATGTCTGATGAAAACCAGCGTGTTTGGATTATACTTTTCATGAGGTATTTCCATGTATAAAATGGGGGATAGCAATGATCTCTTTTGCTAATATAACTCCAATATTTATATGGCTAGTATAGCAAATGGGGGAAAAAAAAAAAAACAACAAAAACTTGCCAAATAAATCTGTGTCCATAAATCCCATTTCAAAATTGATTTATTCATCTATAAAAATTGGGTAAGTGTAATTCATTTTTGTTCAGAGGCTTTTTTTTAAAGTCATACAGTGTATATTTTAAGAAACTTTACATATTTAGGTAATCTCCTCCTCTAGCTTTGTGACATGTCGCCTTCACCTTACTTTTGATTCCTAATCAAGTTTCTAAGGTTGGAAAAGACCTCTAAGATCTAATTGTCTACCCCACCAATATTGCAAAATTATTTATGATACTATTTTTATCTATTGCAGCTTCGTAAGCTCCTGAAGTGAGAGAGGGAACAATTGAAACTGTAGTTCTTGGAACAGGTGGCCACAGTTGGTTGTCCTAGGGACTGACTGAGTCAGCTTTCTGCCGTGGTCTTCAGCAATTGGTGAAACCCTGTTGTGCAAATTCCCTCTGCTAGTGATGTGTCAGGCAGTCAATAAAAGGGTTACAAAAACTTGGGGCATAAGCATATGTTGCACTAATTGAGGCTAATTTGGAAAACAGGAACAAGGGGACTGAGAGGATTCACAGTCACAGTGTGAGCATCCCCAAGAAGGAGGGTGACTGAGGATGATCTCTGGTCAAGGAATAGAATCAGTTAGACATCTACTGTGTACTTTAAAGAATAGTCCTCAGGCTAGCTCTAAAATTTTGTTGGAATTAGAGAAAGCAGGAACTCTGTTAAAGCCAAAGATAACAAGAAAGACCTGAGATGGTACTGTGCCATTGGTGTAATGGTGGCATCCTGCTATTAAGCAAACAGAATAGAGGGAGGATTTCTACTTGTACTTCTGGTGTGCCCCTGCAGATAAGTAGAATATGCTTCTAACTGTGCAATTTGATGCAATAAGAGCGAGAAAAGACGCTGTTCTTGAAACAAGGCCTTCTCAAAGTCTGGGTGGGAAAGGAAGTCATGCACCCTTTTCTAGGATTGGTGTGAAATTCATGTTCTTAGATCTTACTGTTCATCTGATAGTCACCTTCCTGTAATCTACAGAGTACGTTCTGCTCAGCCCTACTGCTTATGTTGAAATTGAATCAGACTTGCTTCACTTTGCATGAGGGTGAGGAAACTTAAGTACAAACACAAGCTCCCTTTTCCCCTGCCCTTTTTTACACTGTGTCTATAGGAAGCCTACTGCGTAATGAACTTGAAAACAAGTCTGGAGATAGTTGTAGTAGATGTTACATGACTAAAAAGGAATTGTGTATTCTTGTTTGTTTCATAGAAGGTGAAGCAAGGGATCCTGGAACTCTTTATTATGTGCTTGGAAAGTGACAATGTGGGCTGTTCTTATAAACACTTCAGTGTTGCTGGCTTATTGGTTATGGTGTGTCACATTCTGACTTCCGGTACAGAGAAAATAACGTGTCACAAATGTGATCAAGAGCAAGAACATGGTGTTTGCTCTGCTCACCTGCTTCTTAAAAATGTCTGATGCCTGAAACTCACACCCTTTGATTTCTAGCTTCGGGTTTCTAAATGTTTTTATTACAGATTGGCAAAAAATAAAAATAAAAAGAACCGGAATGCAGGATGTGTGCAGAAACAGAAATATGTGAAAGGTACTAGAGAAGTCTTATTTTTCACTCATGTCTGTTACTGATGCCTGCTTCATGCATTTTTTTCACCTACAATGTGATGCCTCACAAAAGTATTTTGCAATTACTTACTGTTGTCCCTTTGTATTTGTAATTATTATTGGGATCCAGAAATAAGACTTTGCAGATGGAAAAAATAAAGGCACGTCTAAAAGCAGAGTTTGAAGCCCTGGAGTCTGAGGAGAGGCACCTGAAAGAATACAAACAAGAAATGGACCTGCTGCTGCAAGAGAAGATGGCGCATGTGGAGGAGCTGCGTCTGATCCACGCGGATATTAATGTGGTATGCAACAGTCCTGATGCAGACAAGCCTATGACAGTTGTATATGAATAAGGCCGCAAGTTGTAGAATTGCACGTGTCCATGTATGATTACTGGTTCAATTATTTGGACTTCACAATGCAACACCATTCTGGGATCCTACGAAGTAAATTTAATATAGGAAATCTTTTTTTCCCCCGTCTGCTTTGGCCAAGTTATTTTATGATGTTAGCATGGAAAGCATTTGGATCAAGGGGCTAGATGACTGAGTCCATTGTAGAATTTCACCAGTAGTCATAGTAACTTCATTCTGGCAGTCCCATAGAAAATGATTAAGTCTTTTCTCATTTAGCAGTTAGAGGCAGTTAGTTGGAGTTTTTGACTGTTTTTGTTTGGGAAGAAAAGGTATTTCAGGAAAATGTGTGGTATTTGTGAAGCTGTTAGAAAGAACTGATCTTCCACTTTGAGTGGAACCACCAGACATTACCTCAGTACAGTAAGAAACACAAGCCTGAAGGAAATACAAATAAGAGAAAAACAGCCTATAAAGAAGGAATATTAGTCAATTAGAAGGACTAAGTGGAGAGTTCATTACGATAGGACACTGACGTGACTGTACAGTGATTTTTAGTCGGAGGGTATCTGTGCTTTGCACCAGAGATAAAGCATTTTCACGTTACAAGCAAGTACAAGCTATGCTCTAGTTGAACAGACTGCAGATATTTTCCACTTGAAGTTTCTGTTCCTCTACCCAATTGTACACCTTTTCTCAGTAAGTTTCGTTCTCTCTCTCTTTTCTCTAACATAGTCTTCTTCCACCTCTTTTTCCATTTACTGCAGTAAGAGAAACAGGAACCTTTTCTTAGCTTGATAATTCTAACCAAAACTCTTTGCTTTACTATTGTGTTGTTTCCAATATCTTCTAACTTTGGTGAGGAAAAGCTTTTCTTTTTGATACAGTTCCTTTGCTCAGAGAGCTATTGAAAGAATAGTCCTTTTAAAACCATATTCATCCTTCTGTTTCAGATGGAGAATACTATCAAGCAGTCTGAGAATGATCTCAATAAACTCTTGGAATCTACTCGTCGCCTGCATGAGGAGTACAAACCCCTAAAGGAGCATGTAGATGCTCTGCGAATGACACTGGGCTTGCAGAGGCTGCCAGACTTGTGTGAGGAAGAGGAGAAACTGTCCCTTGAGTAAGTCTCCAAGTAAAAGCTGTCTGGCTTTACACCATTTTTTGATGCTACTGATTATTTTGCTGTTTTATTTTTGTTAACAGTCGGAAGAAAGGAGTTAAGAGGCGTTGGATTTTCTCAGAAATACAGTTTTCTATTGAAAGCAGCTTGAAACTACAAAGAATATATAAATCTATTGCATTAAAATATTAACTTTAACAGAATGAAATATAAAAATAGGTTTTCATAAGGGAATGTAACACTATTAAAGATTAAGTATGTATATTATATATTTTATAGCCTATTAGATTTCTATTCAGTTATAGATCAAGATGTATTAGAATCTGAAAGTCATTGCTGTTCTTCTGAACTCCTTCTGATGTGTACAAATAGAAAGGAAAATACTAACAGTTAGATTTACAGATGTAAATGTGTCTAAACATAGGCAACTTGACTCTAATGGAGGAACATAACGTGGAGATATAAATCATTATACTTTAACACAAAATATTCCATGAAATAATGGCGTAGTCCAGAAGGTGCTTATTTTTAATTATTAATTTATTTATTGGTCTAGCTACTTTGAAAAGCAGAAAGCTGAATGGCAGACAGAACCACAGGAGCCTCCCATCCCAGAGTCTCTGGCTGCAGCTGCAGCAGCTGCCCAACAGCTGCAAGTGGCTAGGAAGCAAGATACCAGACAGACAGCAACGTTTAGACAACAGCCACCTCCAATGAAGGTTAGGAAATTGTGCTGTTTTTTCTTTCGTGTCATTGGAATGTACAGTGCTTATAAACTTGATCAGTATTTACAAAAAGGAAAAACGTGTCCTGGTTCTGATCTTTTCTGTAGGGGTTCGTATCAGTAACAACCCCAGTAAACTTAAACCAGTTGCACCAGTCATCAAGGATTAAGGACAAAGCTCTGCTTTATTTGACTAATTTGTGACTTGAGACTCTCCATAGCAGTGCAAGACTAATGTGTGGATTAATTCAGCCTAACTGTAAGCACTTAAGAGAGGTGTACTACCATCCCATCAGCAGTTACGCTCAGCTCTTTCTGTAGTCAGTAAAAAAAAAAAAAAAAATTGTAATTCTATAGGTGTATCTATTCCACTCAGGTTCCAAAGGTTCACTGCCTAGGGGGTTAAACTGAGGTAAGTATATTTCATAGTTATGTACTTCATGTTTAGGGTAAGGTCAGCAAAAAAATTTCTGAGAGCAATATGCTTCATTCAAATGGAAGTTAAAGGGCTTAGTATGAAACAGAACAGTAGTGTACTGTGTCTTGTGTTAAATATGTAGAATTTATCTAATCACCCTCTCTGCCTTGAATTCTGTGAAACTGCAATCAGTTTTCACTGTAACTTGCGGCTCAGTGAGCTGTTACTCATGTAGAGATCTTTAAAATGTGGAAAGTTTAAACAAAAATAATTTTCATGCTGAAATTATAAAAACAAACAAACAAAAACAAAAAGGCCTAAACCACATGTTTGCTGAGATGTAGTTTCACTTCAATGCGAAACAGAGTGAAACAACATGGTCTTGTTTTTCAGTTGGCCTTGTTTTTCAGAGACCTGGAAATAAAAATTGGCATTGGTTTGCCTTTGAAAGCAAGAAGTCTTTGTTATTATGTACTGTATCTTAGAATATGATACCCTGTAACTAATGTATCAGTGCCGCCCTAAATGTTTGTAACAAAAGGCTGCAATGTTGCATTTCAGGCCTGTTTATCCTGTCACCAGCAAATTCATCGGAATGCACCAATATGTCCACTCTGCAAGGCAAAAAGCCGATCTCGGAATCCCAAAAAGCCCAAAAGGAAACAGGATGAATGAAACGCAGAAAACTGCTGAGCGAAGTGTGACCTTTTCCAATACCATGCCGGTAGAACTGTAAATGTGGCCAGACTTTACTGAAGTACAGACTCAAGTACGACCAACTCATTGTTTTCTATCAATGCAATGTAAGCACAATGTTTCTGTTCTGTTTTGATTTTGTTCTAGCCCTTAGGATGTTTTAGGAAAATAAGTATTAATGGTGCTACAGTTTAATGTTTCAATCATTCCATTTTTTGGATTCCTAAGCAATATAGAATTCTTATGTGAATATCCTAGACATCAGGCTATGATTGTTGGCCAAATGCAATTACTACAGATACGTTCATGTCCTGTTTTTCATAGTCATAGAATGGCTTGGATTGGAAGGCACTTAAAGGATCATGAAGCTCTAATGTGGGCGGGCCCCCCCCCCCCCGCTGCATGCAGGGCCACCAACCCTCCCCATTTAATACCAGACCAGGCTGCCCAGGGCCCCATCCAACCTGGCCTTGAGCACCTCCAGGGATGGGGCATCCACAGCCTCTCTGGGCAGCTGTTCCAGCACCTCACCACCCTCACAGTAAAGAACTTCCCCCTGACATCCAACCTAAATCTTCCCTCCATCAACTTAAAACCATTTCCCCTTGTCCTGCTATTATCTACCCACTCAAAGAGTTGACTTTTAAATTAGATGTCACCAAAAGATTATTAATTTTTCTCCTGATAACAGGAGACCATTTGAAATGCAGAAAAAATGGTTGGTTTCTTTTACTAAAGAACAAATTGTTTTCCAAGCTAGTAAAATTGCATAGCCTCGGGTATCAAATGTTGTAAGTTTTTTTTCCTTTTCCTTCTTTAATTCAGGGGAAAAAATGTTTATACAAGAAATCAGTGCATTAAGGACACAAGTGAATTTCGATTTACTGAGTTTGACAGTACTTTCAGTCAAATTTGGCTTAAGGTTTGGAAAAGGGATCCAGTTATAGGCTGTGTATGAATTACTGAAAATGACAAGGTGTTAAAGCATTGCACGGGATAAGGTGGTATTACTTCAGCAGTCAGAAAACTGACTGAAATGGATACACTAGTGGTCCTTCTAGGATCTGAGGTAAATCCAATGTGTCCACAGGCTGCAACAGTAGCCATTCTGCACAGCTCTTGTTTCTGGATTCTACAGCAAAAATCTCCTTTGTCAGGCATATCCTTGGCTGGATTACAGGGAAGTTCAATAACGCGTACCAGGAGCAGTGCCAACTTAAATCATGCAGTTCATCAGAACTGTTGTTTTTGGTTTTTTTTCCCTAACCAAAACTTTGTATTGTTACCTCTTTCAATAAGCCATTTTGAAATTAGTTTTATTTCAGTCTGTGTTTTCTACTTTCTCTGCATGTGTACCACAAGAATGCTGACTGCAGGTTCCTGCAGACCCCTCCCTGTATCTGTTTCATCTCCAGTAACTGTTTCTCCCACTGGGAGCATGACAATGACCCAACTATGGAGCTGGGACTTCTGTCTTACCTTCCTAATTCTAGTTTTGTCACCAACATGGTTGTTCGTTGGTACTGTATATTATTTTCACTAACTTCAGGAGATTTTTTTTTTTTTTTTTTTTTTTAGCACAAGTTTTCTTCTACTACTATATTAGTATGGTGATACTGGGAAATTTGCTTGTTGAAGAAGAACAGTGAAGCCCTGTAGTCAATGGTCAGAACTGTACCATATGGTGGGGACTGTATAAATTCACAGAAAATGATTTTGCTGGCCAAGTCTCATATATTGCCATTAATTTCCAAACTCTACCATGAAGTACACAAATATTTTACTGAACTGTAACTTATATACTATAACCTCCTATAAGTTATGCCAAGATCAGTCAGTTCTCTCACATTTTAATGTTTCATAACCAAATAAACATCTGTAAGCAGGGCAGACAGAATGTGGACTGTATGCCACTGAAAAGATGTCAGGAATGAGTTCTGTAACCTCTGTTACCCAGAGTTGTTCTCTGGGAGTTAGTGATAAAGGAGGATGGCATGACCTCATGTTTTCTTTACCACACAGCAGTAGTGCCCCAACTCTCTATCTTCATGCATATTTCCTAACATAAATTGTGTTCTGGTTTTAAATGCCAGAGAGACTGTATGCTGTGTACCCTGCTCAGAGCAATTCCTGCTTAGTTTAAAGGAAGATATACCCAGGGTTTAAGACTAGCATATGGATTCCTTCAATCTGCATGCATTAAAACAGCATACTTTTTGTGATAGATATTGTTAAATTTAAGAACTAATTGGAGAATGAGTGAATGGCTTGCAGTGAAGTAGTGTATGTGTGTATAGAAGTGTAGACTTTTAGAACAGATTTACAGTCCTGAAATAGATGGGGGTTAGTCCTAGCTGTTCTTATTTCACTGTTGCTATGCCAAGTTTTTTATTTCTTGGGGATCTCTAGAGTTCTAGACTGAAGCATGCTTAAGGATGCACCATCTCCTAATTTTGTATGACAGTTTAGTATTATTGCTTTTGTTTTAAACTAGTCTCTTGTGCCCTTGTGTTTGACAAGGTTTTGTTATTTTAAAAAAGAAAAACGTGTATGACATACTGTATTTCTATTAATCACATTACTGTTTACAAATCTGTTTGCACATCTTTCCTGAAGTTCAGTCGTATGACTAGTGAGTTTTTGTTGAGAAAGTCAAACTCTTCCAATGAGACAAAAATCCATGTTATATATTAAAGGGTCCTGGGGGCAGGGGGTTGGAGAGACGCGTTATCTTTCTTAGGGAGCTAGTGATCTGTCATCTGACAGGCAGTTCTGATTAAGGAAAACTGAAGAGCTCTTCTGGTGACAGCCTTCATCGCAGGAGTCTTTCTTGAGAGACTTTGAGACGGTTATGAAAAACTGATTCCCTGATCTGTCAGAGGAGGCAGCTATCTGAAGAATGGTTTTTATTACAGAACTATGGTATTTGTGCTTTCTGAAGCAAAAATGGCCTCTTCATTTGTACCTGAAGTTCTTTCACTTCGCTTAGATTCATTCCCATTCAGGTTAAATTAACTTAATAGCTGCAAAGAAACCCTTGGTACATATGCTGAGGGGCTGTTTAAGCCTTGAATCCTTTAGAAGACTTTTATATTTCTAACGCATGGTTTGACCCTGGTCGTTCCCTTTTCCTTGTATATGTACACAGGATTTCCTGTGATTGGTTCCTGGAGTCCTTCCTCAGTTTTTCATCTGCCTTGTATGGTATAGTCCTGTTCTTCTGCAGCCAAATGGCACGGAGTTCACAAGCATCTCCCTATTCCCGTCACCCAATTTAAGCTCATGCTAAAAGGATGAAAGCATTTTACTGTGTAAAATGGCTTTACTATTTAAAAAAAAAAAACAAACCCAAAACATAACAAAGCTGGGGTTGGTCAATTACTGAAACTTTACTGCTGAGTACTCCATGATGTGTAAAGAAAATCTAAGTCAACTTTGAATAATTGCACTGAATGGATTTAGCTTTGGCTTTCTAAACAGTGCATGTGGCTTCAAGTTACATGACCTACTTTTGAAAGAATAGCCATTGGTGTGCTATTTTAAGTACCAGACTATTTAAGAAGTCAGGACTGTACTAGCAGTTTAAATAAATGAAGTGCTTTCCCTTATTTTGCAGTTTGCTATGTCCCTTGAAGTAGGTTTTCATTTTAGCTTTTAGGCATTTTAAGAATACCTGGAGAGTTTCAATGGTTTCTGATATTTCTGTGTTAATATATTTCATTCCTCTGACCGGGATTGACCTGTTAACTTCTCTGTACAATGCTTTTTAATAAAATTCTGTTTCATGTCATGCTTTCTCCCCCTCCTTCCCTCCCCGCCCCCCCCCCCCCACTTCCCCCTACCCTGCTTGCTGTGGCACTGAGCCAAGTGGCAGCCATGGGAATAGAGAAAAGCATCTCTGTAGTAACCAGTGTGTGGCATCAGTCTGCTGGTTCTGATGGTATTTAAGCCTCCAAGCACTGATGCATGGAAAAATTGAGGTAGCGCTGAAAACTCAAAGGTTTTCAGTGTGCCCTAGAATACACTTGTGTGGCCCGGTGAGCTCTGGAGCAGTCTAGTGTAGCTGCAGGAACTGCTCTGAGATTGGTGCCCTCATAGCAACGTTCTCTGAAAGCAGCAAATGCCACAGTTACCTTTGAGTCCAACGAGCTGAGTGGCAGTGCCCTGCCATCACAAATGGTGTTGTGATCCAGAGGCAAGTTTGAATCAGATCACCTGCAACTACTTTTGTTACGCAGACTTAATTTGTCATGATATGATTTATGATGGCTAACATAATATTAAATTACATTTAATTTTGTAAGCTGCTGTAGTTCATAAAACTTGCATAGTGAATAGAAAGATGCTAAGCACCCCAAAAACACACCTTTTACATGGAAAAGTCATTTGATGTTTACTGTCTTTGGTTTTCTGAGTACGTTTTCTTTTAATATATTTTGTTTTGGAAGGAACAGTCGCATGTTTTTTTGGTGTTCTGAATTACACTACAACTCAAAGTAGGATTTGAAGACTCGGATCCAATGTGCTGGAGCGATTTCTGATGCTGAATCCATGAACGAAAGTCCAGGTGGTATTCAGGAGTTACTTCAGGATGAGAAACTGGTATTGGTTTTCAAGCAGGTAGGAGTTTAATACATAATACTACATTCCTCCTTCAGTTTTTTTTTTTTTTTTTCTAATCTACGGTAGTATGCAGTCTGTGTTTGGAAAGTATTTTTTTTTTAATAACTGTCAGGTGGCAGTAGCAGCAGAACACCAGGCTATTGCAGGGGGAATGCCAGGGGAACAGAGGGCAGAAGGATTTCTGAGCTGCTGCAGAGCAAAGACCTCAAGGAACTGGTGCAGTCCATGCAGTCCTTTAGGATCAGAGAGTGCTTGGTAAGGACAGTCCCCTAGGCCTCAGCTGGATAAGCTTTCTCTGTGTGCCCAGATTGCAGGCTGTGCAGCCGTGCCTGGCTGCACTGCTCTGGCCCAGAACCCACTGCCTGTAGCTGTAATCCTTGCTTCCTTCCCTCCCGCACAAAGCTCCAGAGGTTGTCCTGCAGGTCCCTGTCTGCCCCCAGGATGCTAGAGGAGACTTTGGCGATGGGACAGAGGAGTGCCGACATCCTGGTTTCCCTCTGCCTGGGAAGCAGTGGGTGCTCTCACTGGATGGGTAGTAATGAATGGGAAGCAGAGCCACACTCCGAGCTGAAAAGGAGGAAGTAGCATCATGTTCTGATTGGTTGTCTTCCAAGGATGGGAAGTACCTGTGCCCTCTGTTTAGTTGGGCTGAAAAGACTTGGAAGCAGAGCCACAATCTGATTGGTTGGGTGGTAAAGGCTGGGAAGCTATGCCAGGCTCTGACTGGCTGGGCTGAAAAGGGTGTCA